AATTTTCTAGGAAAAACTGATAAATTTAGTGATACCCTCGAGAATATGAAAAAGGACCAATTAGACATTAAGCATACACTGGCTGAAATAAAAAATAATATAGAGATCCACCAGCAGACTAGAGGACCCCAAGAATCAAATCAGATTTAAAATACAAAAAAGCGAAAAACATCCAACCAGAAAATCAAAAAGCAAAAATCATCCAAAAATTTGAAGGTAGTGTAAGGAGCTTCTGGGACAACTTCAAGCATAATTATGGAGGTGCCAGAAGAAAGAGAGCAAGATACTGAAAATCTTTTTGAAGAAATAATGACCGAAAACTTCCCCCACCTTGTGAAAGAAATAGATTTACAAGACCAGAAAGCGCACAGAACCCCAAACAAAAGAAATCCAAAGAGGACCACACCAAGACACATCATAATTAAAATGCCAAGAGCAAAAAGGGTTTAACTAAATGTGTCCTAGAATCGGTGAAAATTGAACCAACCTCCTGTCCTTCACCCTCTTAAGGGCCAGGTGTACCCCTTACTGGGACAAGTTTCCCCTTTTTTGGCAGGGGATCATGTATGGTAACCATTCCCTTGCTCAAGTCCTTACAGGCTCTGCAGTTTGCTTGTTCCAGATGTACTGCCAGTGCCCACCGCAGACCCTGTAGCCCCGGAACTCAATGTGGGTAAAGAAATTCACTGCCCAAGGACTCAAAAGGACGCTGCACTGTTATCCTGAGCACGACCACTGCTGTTGAAGTAGATGGCACCCAGACCTGACTACATGACTCCCAGCTCCTGCATGGCCTGGATCCTGGCAACTACAGGCCAGGAGGAGAATTGATGCCTGCAGGAGGGGAACTAGACTTCAGTGAGGACAATACTGATGGGAACCGTGGTACTAAGGGTCTTGGTAACTGTATTTGTTGTTTATGCTGAAAGGAAGTAGGCTGAGTCAATGATTTGACTAGGCACATTAGACAGGGGAAGAATGAGAGGGCAGGGCGGAGTTATCCCTAGCCCTCATCCAACCAATCAGGGTTAGCCAAGGCAGTGACATCACCACCGACCAGAGTAAAACCCCTGGACTGGGCGAAATTCGCTCTCTTTCCGCTATGGTGCCGGCGTGAGTGGGACAGAGCCCATGCTAGCATGGAAAAGGCTCTTTTGTTTATTGCATCGGACTCGGCTCCCTAGTGGTCCTTGGGGATCACAAAGTCTGGGTGTAACAGTTCTAATCAGGCGCTGGGCCGATCTCTGACAGCCATGTTGATACACACTCCACAGGAGCAAGCACAAGGTCCAGGGCAGAGGTGGCCAGAGCCCCCTGGAGGGGCAGCAGTGGGATCAGGAAGGGGAGAAAGGAGTAAGGGAGTAGAGAAGGGCAGAGTGAGCTGTGCCTGGAATGTCTCCAGATGTTTCCCCCATGGGGAAGCAGGAGTAGGAATGGATTCTCCAAGCCTCTTAACACCCTCCTTCACATTATCTCTTCTTATCACCCTCCCAGAGGACAGACCCTTTGACGCCTCCCCTCCCTCACCTCCCACCCCGTGTTTCCACTGCCTAGATTAGAGCCTGGGGAAGGAAGGGGCTCATTAACTACTCTACTGAAGACCCTGTGGTCTCTAGATGGCTTCCCCAGGTTTGCTCCACAGTTTCAATGTTGAAGTTATTCTTCCAGGGAAAGTAACCTTTAAGGGAAAACAGCCATGTTTACCCACTGCAGCCATTACCACCAGCTACTGAGGCAGGCCCTGGAAGAGCCACACCCAGTTCTATGCCCTTGGCCTCTAACCTCTTCCCCATCCCCAGTTGTCCGCTAGGGTCCACTTCAACTAGGGTATGAGTCCCATCCTTCCCATAAGGTCTAGACTCCTTGTTTCCCTGGAAGTTTAGACCAGGTAGATCCCACCCTAAAGCCTGAAGTTACAGGAACTTCTCTTTCTAGCCTTGGAGCCCTGGGCTTGGGTCTGGAGTGGGGCTGGGATCCCTCACTTCTCACGGGAGGCCTTGGAGATATTCCTCCCAATTAAAAAACACCACGCATGGGTGCTGGAGCAGCCCACTCTGCACCTCCACCCCTCCTACCAGTCTCAATGTGCTTTTTCTTTCCTTCTCTAGTTATAGGGCTTCCATTGAGCCAGCTTTCAGGAGATTCTGAGTGATGGCTGTTCTGTATTCTAGTCATAATTTTGATGTGGGAGGCAGCAGGTACCGATGTTTACCTACACCGCCATCTTAGTTTCTCTCAGAGCAAAAGTTTTAGATTTTTATTAAGTCTAATTGTATGAATTGAAATGTGTCCCCTCCCCCAAAAGATATATTACAGCCCTAAAAAAAATAAAATAAATAAAATAAATAAATGAAAAAAAAAAAATAAAATGCCAAGAGCAAAAGACAAAGAGAGAATATTAAAAGCAGCAAGAAAAACAGTTACCTATAAGGGAGTACCCATACAACTGTCAGCTGATTTCTCAACAGAAATTATGCAGGCCAGAAGAGTGGCAAGAAATATTTAAAGTGATGAATATCAAGAATCTACAACCAAGATTACTCTACCAAGCAAAGCTATCATTCAGAATTAAAGGTCAGATAAAGAGCTTCACAGACAAGAAAAAGCTAAAGGAGTTCATCACCACCAAACCAGTATTATATGAAATGCTGAAGAGTAGTCTTTAAGAAAGGGAAGAAGAAGAAAAAGGTAAAGATAAAAATTATGAACAACAGCCGAAACCGATTTGGCTCAGCGCTAGAGCATCGGTCTGCAGACTGAAAGGTCCCAGGTTCGATTCCGGTCAAGAGCATGTACATTGGTTGCGGGCACATCCCCGCTGGGGGATGTGCAGGAGGCAGCTGGTCGATGTTTCTCTCTCATCGACATTTCTAGCTCTCTATCTCTCTCCCTTCCTCTCTTTAAATAATCAATAAAATATATTTTAAAAAATCAATAAAATATATTTTAAAAAAATTATGAACAACAAATACATACCCACCAACAAGTGAATTTACAAATCAAGTGAATAAAAAATCTGATGAAACAGAATAAACTGGTGAATATAATAGAATCAGGGATATAGAAAGAGAGCAAACTGACAATCCTTGAGGGGAAAGAGGTGCGAGAAGAGATTGGACAAAAATCGTACACCTATGGATGAGGAGAGTGGGGAGGGGAGTAAGAGAATGGGGTCGGGTGGGAATCGGGGGGAGGGGAGCTATGGGAGGAAAAAAGAGGAACAACTGTAATAATTTGAACATTAAAGATTTTTTTAAGCCGGGACCGGTTTGGCTCAATGGATAGAGCGTCGGCTTGGGGACTGAAGGGACCCGGGTTCGATTCCGGTCAAGGGCATGTACCTTGGTTGCGGGCATATCCCCAGTAGGGGGTGTGCAAGAGGCAGCTGATCGATGACTCTCTCTCATCGATGTTTCTAACTCTGTATCTCTCTCCCTTCCTCTCTGTACAAAATCAATAAAATATATTTAAAAAAAAAAAAAAAAAAAAAAAAGATTTTTTTAAAATGATGAAAAGTATAATAGGAAGACACAATTTAGATACATTCAAATTCACAAAGCAGGACATACTAGTTGCATAAAAAATAAATAAATAAATAAATAAATAAATAACCAGAGCTACCATATGATCCAGAAATCCCACTGCTGGGTATTTATTTGAAGAAATTATAAACACTAATTTGAAAAAGAATATGCCCCTGTATGTTCCCTGCAGAACTACTTATAAGAACTAAGAAGTAATCCAGATGTCCATCAACAGATAAATGGATAAAGATGTGACATATATAATATGTGTATTATATATATACATTCATACAATAAAAAAGAATGGTATCTTGCCATTTCTGACAACATGGATGAACCTATTGGTTATTATGCTAAGTAAGTCAGACAAGGACAAATGCAGTATGATCTCATTTATACATGAATCTAAAAAAACAAAATAAATGAAAAAAAAAATAAAACACAAATAGACCTATAGATATAGAGAATAATCTGAGAGTTGCCAAAAAGGACGGGGTAGAAGAATGGAGAGGGGAAGAATACACAGATATCTTTAGTTATTTATTTAAAATATTTTTATGGATTTCAGAGAGGAAGAGAGAGGGAGGGAGAGATAGAAACATCAATGATGAGAGAGAATCATTGATTGCTTCCTCCTGCATACCCCCAACTGGGGATTGAGCCCACAACCCAGGCATATGACCTTGACTGGAATAAAACCTGGGAGGGATCCTTCTGTTCACAGTTCGTTTTATCTGCTGAGCCAAACCAGCTAGGGCTCTTTAAAGGGAAATCTTTAAAAGATTATTTTTACAATTTCTGTATGGAAAACACTGGTTTCAAAATTAGTGTTTTCCTAAGCTTTGCATTTTTTTTGTTAGTTCATATAATTTAATCTTTTTCTTTATTAAGATATTACATATATGTCCTTATACTCCCAATGTCTTCCCCCAAACCCAAGCTTTGCATTTAAAAAATAAAGTAAAATATAAGCTATTGCTCTTCATTTCTGGCAAAAACACAACACCACCAAAAACAAAAGAGGAACCAGCAAAAAAACAAGACAAAAAACCCCCCATATCTATAACTTAAAATAAAACCAATCTGTTTTTGATTATGGGTTTGAAGAGCCAGTAGATTAAAGAGGATTTTAAAACAAAAGGCAAGTCCCAGGCCAATTGCTCAATGGTTAGAGCATCGGCCAATGGACTGAAGGGTCATGGTGCGATTCTGGTCAAGGGCACATAAGGCTTGATCGCAGCTTTGGTGCGGCATGCTGGAAGCAACTAATCAACATGTCTCTCTCGTAGATGTTTCTCTTTGTCTCTCCCCCTTCTTTTCACTCTCTCTAAAAAAAGAACCACCTTCTCAATGGGAAAAATAGCCTCAAATGAGGATTAACAAAACAAACAAACAAACAAACAAACAAACGGCACACACACACAAAAAAAACCACACCAAAAGCAGATACATCCATGATGGATCCCTGGCACCTACCGCAGAGGCAGGCTCCCCCTTGGATTCACTGGCATCTGGCTCGGTGTCCTCGGTCTTGACCTCAGGCTTTATTTCCAGCATTGGTATTTCTGGTCCTGGCTGCTGGGAGTTGGTTTCAGCGCTGGCCACTGATGATGGAGTGGGCACCCTGTTCTCAATGCTGGCTGCTGCCTGGGAAAGCTGTAGAAAAACCAAAATCATTTATCTCTGTTAATAAAACAATATATATGATCGTAAACTCTGCTGCTGGTCACCTAATATAGAGTTTTGTGTTAACATTCTCAATACTAACCTAATAAGCATCCCTATTTGAGAGAATTGAAGAACAAAAGTTCAAGTAGGAGTTCTAGAGGAAGACAACATCAGGCAGAAACACAAGTGATTTCTTGCTAAACATACAGAGATGGAAGAGTAGAGCTTTCTACATGTGGATATGAAATTATTTTCTGCTATTTTTCTACCTAAGCCATAGAAAGAACTCCCTATTTTAAAATTAATTCCTCACTAGATCATTAATGTTTATGATTGAAAGTGGAATTATAAATATACTAGTGACCCGGTGCATAGATTTGTGCACAGTGAAAGAAAATTAACTAGAAGGTAGCTGGCAGGATGGGACTGGGCGAGACAGGCCACACCCTGGAGCCAACCTCCTGCAGTTCCTCCATGGCGTCTGCAGAGTGAGCGGGGTCCCTCTGGCAGGTGGGGTCCCTCAGCCTGGCCTGTGGGGATCGGGCCAAAACCAGCTCTCTGACACCCCCCAAAGGGGCCTTAGAGTGTGAGAGGTACTCTGCAAAGTTGCTGTTGTACATACAAGGTGTGGAGTGCAAATACAAGGGTGCAGTAAACCAGATTCGGGGCTGACAGTGCCCCGGCAACAACATAACCCATGGTCAAGGGTAGAATCATACGGCCCTGTGAGGAATTGGGCTCCCTCCTTTCTAGCTTCAGGATGTTACCCGAGAGCCAACACTGCCAAGTCACTGTGTTGAGCATCTGCACCCTGGTGGTCAGTGTGCATCATAGCAATTGGTCTTACAATAGGAGGGACACTTAGCATATTAGCCTTTTATATAAGTATATATGTAGAAGGAAGAATAAAGAACCTATATGAAATAAGAATATATAATTAAGTGGATTGAGTGGCGGACTGAAGGGCCTCAGGTTCAATTCCGGTCAATAGCACACTGCCTGGGTTGCGGGCTCGATTCCCAGCGGGGGTGTGTGCAGGAGGCAGCCGAGCAAATGATTCTCATCACTCATGTCTCTATCTCTCCTTCCCTCTCTGAAATCAATAAAAACATATATTGAAGATATTTAAAAAAAGAAAAAAAAAAGAATATATAATTAGCTTGTAATTGCAGGAACACTGTTGGGATTAGTGGCTGAGAAATAAGCAAACATTAAGAGAAGGAACGACTAAAAGAATTATAAATTTTCAAAGCCTTATCCAAGGTAGTTTAAAGTAAACAAACAAAAGATAACGTAAAATTAGAAAGGCTTTGGAGAAATACAAATAGTAATGTTATCTTGGGATTGTTGTTCAGATTAATTTTGACATTAATAAATACCTTCAGACCCCAAGAAGAAAGTTAATGTATCTCAGGGAAAGAGGGGTTTCTAAGTTAGACTGATAAGAAAATGGATATTAAGATTGATTTTAGTGATAACTGGGGAGGGAAGGTGGAGGCAACAAGAGGGTAGCCTTAGGTCCCTGTGTCAGTGGAGCAACCCAGCCTAGGAGAGGTACCCAGACTGTGTACCTCCAGCAGGTCCACAAAGGACTGGGCAGATTTGAGCCACAGAAGTACTAACTTGGATCTACCAAGTTGTCATAAAAAAGAAAAGGCTTGCAGTCTGAAAACAAGGCTGACGGGTAAGGTCAAAGCATATACAATCAAGAACATGACCACATCCTTAAGTATTAGGAGAAAAACTACCAAGACTCAGAAGACATAAATCTAAGCCAGATAATGGGAAACAGACTTCTCTTATAAACAGAGGTAGTTTAAAAATTCTATAGAGGACTCGTGTATTATTTCTTTAGAACTGCTGATTTTTGCAAACTCATTTAAGTCCTGCCAAACATGGCCTTTCAGTTACTTTTTGGGGTGGCACCAAGATTCTATAGCAACTTCATAGCAGAATTAAAAAAAATGTATTATTTACTGATTTGAGAGAAAGAGAAAGGGAGGAGTGGAGAGGGAGAGGGAGAGGGAGAGGGAGAGGGAGAGGGAGAGGGAGAGGGAGAGGGAGAGGGAGAGGGAGAGGGAGAGGGAGAGGGAGAGGGAGAGGGAGAGGGAGAGGGAGAGGGAGAGGGAGAGGGAGAGGGAGAGGGAGAGGGAGAGGGAGAGGGAGAGGGAGAGGGAGAGGGAGAGGGAGAGGGAGAGGGAGAGGGAGAGGGAGAGGGAGAGGGAGAGGGAGAGGGAGAGGGAGAGGGAGAGGGAGAGGGAGAGGGAGAGGGAGAGGGAGAGGGAGAGGGAGAGGGAGAGGGAGAGGGAGAGGGAGAGGGAGAGGGAGAGGGAGAGGGAGAGGGAGAGGGAGAGGGAGAGGGAGAGGGAGAGGGAGAGGGAGAGGGAGAGGGAGAGGGAGAGGGAGAGGGAGAGGGAGAGGGAGAGGGAGAGGGAGAGGGAGAGGGAGAGGGAGAGGGAGAGGGAGAGGGAGAGGGAGAGGGAGAGGGAGAGGGAGAGGGAGAGGGAGAGGGAGAGGGAGAGGGAGAGGGAGAGGGAGAGGGAGAGGGAGAGGGAGAGGGAGAGGGAGAGGGAGAGGGAGAGGGAGAGGGAGAGGGAGAGGGAGAGGGAGAGGGAGAGGGAGAGGGAGAGGGAGAGGGAGAGGGAGAGGGAGAGGGAGAGGGAGAGGGAGAGGGAGAGGGAGAGGGAGAGGGAGAGGGAGAGGGAGAGGGAGAGGGAGAGGGAGAGGGAGAGGGAGAGAGAAACATTTTTTGTTCCACTTATTCATGGATTCATTGGTTGTTTTTTTTATATATGCTCTTACTGGAGATTGAACCCACAAACTTGGCATATAGGAACGACGCTTTAACCAACTGAGCCAGGGTCATCATGACAGAATTATTTATGGGAAAGTTCTCAGTAAGAGTCTCAGAACAAAGATGACAGAGAGGCTCACCGGCGTGCCAGGAGGCTGGGTATGCACAGGCGTTGGCTGCTGCTGTGATGACTGAGGGGTGGTCACAGATGGGGGCTGAACTGGGGTCTGAGGCTGCGGGGTCACCTGGGCTGCTGTCTGGACTGTAGGAGTGCTCTGGGCTTGACTAGCACTGGGCACTGAGCCAGGAGTTGGGGTAGGAGTCTGCCCGGAAGACGACACAGGAGTCGATGGCTGGGTGGGAGCTGCTGGCTGGGGAGGAGTCATCACAGGTGCTGTTGGGTGCTGTAGAGACGGCATGCCAGCAGCTGTGGAAGCAGGAGGTGGCGTCTGGTGCAATGGTGATTGTGTCACTGGTGGACAAGGCAGCTGGGACCCAAGCATGTTCAGAGGGTTAGGAAGAGCAGCACCAGGCACCTGTCCCTAGCAGAGGAAACAGAATATGTTAAAATTATGTCACTTATTTGGAAATGTGGCAACAAAAATTTATCTAGTGGTACACTTATAATTTGTACTTTTCAATAAAGTTAATGCTATTATGTTTCTTCTACTTTGATTTATATGACTATCAAAATTTCTGGTTTAAACAAATATGTCCACTCAGCTTACTAGCTTCATGCTCCATAATATATAAATACAACTAAGACCAACAGAAAACATATTTATCTTAAAAAAAAGTTTCAGTGCAGTGATCTCAGCTGAGGAGATGCTTCAAAGTATCTGTAGACCTTTGAAAAAGTGATTCCAAATCACTGGTCTAGAACAAGGGCTACAAACTACTGCCTGTGGCCAAAGCCAGTTAGCTGCCTATGTCTATAATAAAGTTTTATTAAAACATAGCACGCCCATTCATTTGGGTAGGAATGAACAAGGCTGTGATTTCCCCCCACAATGGTGGAGGTTAAGAGTTAAGACAAAGAGTCTATCTATGTTTGGCCCACAAAGTAAAAAATATTTACAGGACATATTTGCTTACCCCTGTTCTAGAGCAATGACATATTATGGAAATTAAGAATTAACGAATAGGCATTTAGAGAATAAATTTAGAATAGTCAATTACTTTTATTCAATATTACTTCATGTTAAAAAATGAAAACACGAACTTCATATTTTAGAGGAAGGTTTGGCCTATTTTAAATGCATGTACATATTCATACAGCAACACTACTTTACTATAACAACAAGAAGGTTTTAAAAAGGCAGTAAAATGAAGAGAAACACTTTGATTGGTTGCCTCCTGTACATGCCCTAGTGAGGGCCCAGGCCAGGAGGGAGGAGCCAGCAACCCAGGCATGCTTCCGAATAAAACAAAAAATACAGAATAAATGCCCGGGCACAGTGGCACAGTGACCGAGCAAAGACTTATGAACCAGTAGGTCACTATTTGATCCCTAGGTCGGTAGTGCAGGAGGCAGCCGATCAATGATTCTCTCTCATCACTGATGTTTCTAGTTCCCTCTTCCTTTCACCTTACTCCCTGAAATCAATAAAAAGGTATATATATTTAAAAAGGCAGGAAAATAGTTCTCTTCAACTTCAGACTGAATAAGTAAAACACATTGAATAAAAAGATAACTATGCAACTGATCCAGTGAGCCTGACTTCAGCTGGACAGTTCAGGGACAGGAAACAAGATTCACAGAACAAAAATCATTAGCAGTGAACTCATGGGACCCTTCCTTACTCATTTTTTAAAATTCAGTCTCTCTCAGGATTTGTATATGAAACTTAGAATTTAAAAGACACAAGTAAAAAAACAAGAAAAAAAAAAATCAAAATGCAAAAGCACACAAATCAAAAAACCACAAACCACTCTAGTTCTACATGAAGTTCACTCCAAAATGCCGAGAGTCATTCCAAACAAGGTAAAAATGACAGGAAAAAATAAGGAAAATATTAGGAGATGCTAAAGATAAAAATCAAATGTGTAGTCTAGAATTCTAATTCCCGTGAAAAAAGACATGCTCAGGTCAGTAGGAAGCTGGGGCTGTACCAATGTAGGAGGCCCAAAGGCAAACGGTACCTGTGACACGCCTGTCTGGGCCGCTGGCTGCCCCATGCCTACATTGTTCACACTCATTGCCCCACTGGATGAAGGGAACTGGTTCTGAGGCAGGAACTGGTTCTGTGTGGGCGCTTGGGCCATCATGTTGTTGGCATGCGCTCCCATCATGTTTGGAGGCTGAGGCATTCGGGAAGGAGAAATGGCCATCTAAAAGACAACAAGCATCATTGAGAATTCAGAGGACAAAAGCCAAAGTATTCACGATAAAGTAGAAGAGACAGAAATCTCCCAAATCTTCCCTCCCTCTTGGGAAAAGAAAGACCACTCACTAAGACCTTATAGCTCCGAGGCACTTTGCCAGCTTTCTCATGCAAAGTATCTAATGAGTGGGCTTCAGATTGTCCTCTGGATAGAAATCAATAGCATGCTATCATTTAAAGTTCAAGGTATGTTTTTCTATGAAGCATTCAGAAATCAGCCGCAGGAGAGTAAGCTCTAGGAGTCAACAGACACTGACAAGTTCCTTTTGGTCACAAATCTGAGGCTGCCTATTCCATCTACAGAACTCCATCTTCTCAAAAAGTCAAAAGTCCCTATGAAATTGGCATTCAAATAAAATAAATAATGGTCAAATAATTTTTCCTACAGTAATGAGATGGGGGAGGGGGGAGGGTAGGAAGGATAAAGGGAGGGAGGGAGGGAGGGAGGGAGGGAGGGAGGGAGGGAGGGAGGGAGGGAGGGAGGGGGAAAGATGAAAGAAATAAAGCATAACTAAAATCTAAAGGAACAGGTACCATAGGATTCTAGACAATCTACAATTTCACTGCTTAGAGAATTTTCCTTATTTGGGCAATGCCTTCTCAGCACAGTTAAGGCAAGCAGGACTTACCCCTGGAACAGAGCCCATGCTGTTCATTGGGACAGAGTGGTTCATGGGGGATGCTGCGCGCGGTCCCATGGGAGCTTGTGGCAACTGTACATTCCCCAAAGACATCGGATTAAATGAATTCATCCCTGTAAAGTATCCACAATAATTCATTAAGAAAAGCATCCTCAGGGAAACAGAGTTTATTTGCCCAATAAAATCAAAGCAAAATAAGATGGAACACATATACAACACATACAACTGAAAGAAAATCACCCAGTTAATCACATGATTAAGTAACAGAATTTCCATATCCAGGAAAAATGGCATCAATGCTGATAAGGGTGGTATGGTGGAGATGGGAGTGGGGGCAGGGCAAAATGAGGAGAAGAGGGCAGAAAACCAGGTAAACTAAAGCTGAGGAAACACTGATCAGCATGGCAGGACCCTGATCAACAAGCATCAAAGTGATAAGGCTACCCCGGGAAGATGTTCCCACCAACTATGGAAGAGGTGATAACTAAGGCCAGGGCGCCAATCTGAGCCAATCTCTCATTAATGCGTGCTGGAGCATCTAGCTTCTGTCTTCTCTCCTACAGGAAGCCCATTCTCATCCCTTCCACCTCACCCCCACCCCAGCCTCCTAATTCTTCAGCTGGGTTTATATTTATTGTTAGAATCTGGGATAAGACTCATAATATGGTTTTAATTTTGCAAGCAAGTTAATGTTTAGAAAGCATCCAAGAGTGGCAAGTTCTTAACCTTTTATCTACAGAAAGAAAAATCTCATGTTCGCAGTACCTTTGCTGTCCCAGGGTTTTGCCCATTGTTGCAGAAATGTCACACCATGGAAGACACCTCACTAGCTGCTAAGTATCTCTAGACCACGGCCTCTCCTTCTTTGTAATTTCCTAAAATCCTCTGTACACTCTATCCTTTATATTATCAGTTTATCTATTATGTCTACCAGTTTATCTACCAGTATGCAGTAAGATTACAGCAAACTTTAAAAATTACCTTTTCTCCCCTCCTAAACCACTAACAGCAGAACCAAGCCTTGCTTTAGAATCTTTGGGTAATGTCACTACTTTATTGCACAACCTGTAAAAACATCTTACTGTTCAAGTCTAAATTAGACAAAAACTATAAAAGGTTTGAAATGCCCCCAGTCCCCAAACTCCCAAACTAAAATTGCTTCAACCAAGCAAAAACCACAGAATTTCAACCTGAAAAAGAATCTTTAAAAATTGTTGAGAGACCAGCTGCCAGCACCCCAGCCTAATGTAGACTCTGAGTGTCAACCCTGCTGGCAAGGCTTGAACACCTGCATTCACAGGGCCCAGAGCAGCCATTGCACTTTCTCCACCTCACCCTTGTGCTGCTCGCTGCCCCAGGATTGGCCTGATGCTCTCCTTTCATGCATTCAGAAATGTTTCCTTCCCCCACCTACAATGTTTTGTAAGACTCTTCCTAAAAGTAATGCCCTCTCTTGAATCTAAATAAGACTGATATTCATACTGCCGGTGGAAATGCTCATCAACAATAAGGAATTAAGGAAAAAGAAGCGCTATCCTATATAATAAAGAGGCAATGTGCAAATTAACCCTCACGTCCTCACAAGAGGGCTGCCTACAACCAGGTCAGCAGGAGCGTTAGTGAGGGGTGACCAAACAACTGAACAAGCAGGCTGTGTGGGGCAACCAGGCCGGCAGGGGGTTAGTGAGGGGCAGGGGGTTAATGAGGGACAGGGGGGTTAGTGAGGAAGTGCCTGAACAGCAGGCTGCATGGGGCAACCACGCTGGCAGGGGGGCTGTAAGGGTCAACCAGGCTGGCAGGAGGGGCAGTTAGGGGTGACCAGGTCAGCAGAGGGGGGCAGTTGGGGGCGACCAGGTAGGCAGGGGGATAGTTAGGTGTGATCAGGCTGGCAGAGGGGGCGGGGGTGGTGGAGGAGAGGGAGCAGTTAGGGGCGACAAGGCAGGTAGGTGAGCAATTAGGAGCCAGCGGTATAGGATTGTGAAAGGAATGTCTGACTGCCAGTTTAGGCCTGATGGCAATCGGACATCCGCTGAGGGGGGGGACCCCCCTGCCCCCTGGACAAATTTCATGCACTGGGCCTCTAGTAAAGAAATAAAAGAGGAAAAAAAGAAACAATATACTTTATGGCTGTTGAATGGTAAACAGAAATATAATTCACAGCAATAGTTAAATACCTTGAGAAACCTGCATGCGATTCACTGGCAGGGGAATGGGCCCATCTATAATGACAGGGGTGGGTGGGGGGGAGAAAGGTTAGTTAAAATAATCCTTGATTGAGGAATAAGGAATTTATCTTCAAACTTAAAGGAAAAAACAACAACAGTCAACAGGTCCCAAAGCACTGCACATTGGAGCTCACAAATCCTTTAAAGGACTTCCTCATGAGAGACTCAACGTCTAAACATAGGCCAATGTACAGGTCATAACAACTATCAGTCTCCAAAATGTGGGTTTCCTGAGAACATAATTCTATATACATAGAAACACACCCCAAATACAGAAGAAAAAACAAGCAGACAGACTAAGGGCTGACAGAGGAAATGAGGTCCTTACTTGGAGGTCTCACAGGTTGTGACTGTGGTATCCCAGGGGGCTGAGCCCCAGGGGCTGGTAAGGCTGGCTGGTTACCCAAGATGCCTTGTTTGTGTAAACGCGACCTCCGTTTTTCTTCTAGTTCTTTTTGTATCTTGTAGATTTTCTCTGCTAATAAGTGATAGTATTCATCCTAAAAAGCAATAACATTAGGCAGTCAAAACTATAGAAAATGATCTGGTTTGTATGTTTTAAAAACTAATGAACTTGATTAAGTACAATGGCAAAGGTAAGTGTTCAACACTTCTAGCTAATAAACCAAAGGCCCAAATTCTTTTTTTTTTTTTTTTTTTTAAATATATTTTATTGATTTTGTACAGAGAGGAAGGGAGAGTGATAGTTAGAAACATCGATGAGAGAGAGTCATTGATCAGCTGCCTCTTGCACAACCCCCATTGGGGATATGCCCGCAACCAAGGTACATACCCCTGACCGGAATCGAACCTGGGACCTTTCAGTCCCCAAGCCGACACACTATCCATTAAGTCAAACTAGTTTCGGCAAAAGGCCCAAATTCTTGTTGAACTAGTTACATTATAGGATTTAATAGACAGTAGGTATTAAATGAATATTACATTTCATTCCACAGTTGAACCTCTTCTTACATATTCACTGGTGCTGGCAATAACATAGTATAAGCATAACAAACAAAGCCCACATGGATGTGGACATGAGACCCATGGATAAAATGCTATTCTGTATACTCAATTACCTGTAATGGTGATACTATAGTAAACAAAGAAAGTTGTGAAGGGACCTAATTTTTTTTTTTTTTTTTCCAAAAGATGGGAGAGGGAGAGAAACACCAATGATAAGAGAGAATCACTGATCGACCTACCACCTAAAGGCCCCACACTGGGTATGTGCCCTGGCAGGGACCTTCTGGTTCATAGGTCGATGCTCAATCACTGAGCCACGCTAGGCGGATGGGACCTAATTTCTTATCTGCTAAGTATCTCTGGCCAGGCTCCTCAAGGTGATGGGTCTACCCAACTAACATATCCCTATTTCCAGACAAATCAGCCAGACAGATGCAGCTATATCTACCACAGGTATGTGCAGGCTGGAATAAGTATGGCAACCTACCCGGCTGTTGGCAGACTCATACATGTCCCCTTCCACTTTCTTAGCGTAGGCTACGAGGTTCTCCATGCGGCGATCCTTCAGGGCTGCAGGATCAGGTGTTGGGAAGATGGCTTGGACTCTAGGAGGACAACATACTCTATCAACCCACTTTCAATACGTCAGTATCTTGCCATTTTATATATGACATGGAAAGAGAAGCTTATCTACCTACAGGGGTTGTACACTATTGAAAAAAATCCCAAATCTCTCTTGCCTAGATTATGAATACACAAATGAAGTCATTCTCTTGAGACAATACTAACCTGTTGATTTATCTATAAGTCCAAAACAATATTTTGCTATTAGCAATAAATGCTAGGTCATCTCGAAAATGATACAATTTTTTAAAAAGTATTTTTATTGATTTTAGAGAATAAGGGAGAGGAAAAGATACAAAAATCAATGATGAGAGAGGATCACTGGTTGGCTGTTCCCTAACACACTCCACATTGGAGACCAAGCCCACAACCCAGGCATATGCCCTGACCGAGAATTGAACTATAACCTCCTGGTTCATGGGTTGACACTCAACCACTGAGCCATATCGATTGGGAAGGAATAACATGATTTTGAATTCCTACTTTTAAATTATTTATTATAGCCCTGATCAGTTTGGTTCAGTGGATAGAGCGTCGGCTTGTGGACTGAAGGGTCCCAGGTTCGATTCTGGTCAGGGCAAGTACCTTGGTTGTGGGCACATCCCCAGTAGGGGGTGTGCAGACCACTAATCAATGTTTTTCCCTTATTGATGTTCCTAACTCTCTATTCCTCTCCCTTCCTCTCTGTAAAAAAATTAATAAAAATTAAAAAAAAAAATTATTACAAAAATTTTTTGTTAAAATAATGCAGAAAACTTTGAGAGAACCATTGGTTAACTTCACCTTCAATTTAATTTAACTAGCTTGCGAAAGTTAACTATTAACTTCCTGCATGTTCACTGACTATATACATGGTAGTACTATCATGCCATCTGTTTTCACTATGCCCAAATTCCCCCAATTCTCAAGGATCTCCAGAAACATAATCTTGAGCCATAAAATAAGACAAAGCTTCTGAGCTAATCCCAGCTCCCTCATGTATCCCAGAGCTGAGAGGACATATTTGGCTGCACTGGGAGTGTTGGCCTCTGTGGCATGGCTCACAGTTCATGCTCCTCTATAGGGTAGAGCTATGGATGCTCTGGGGCCCCTCACTGGGGATGCAGGGTCTGGGATTCTCTGGCCTGCCAGCAGTGTCCGTGGTTCCCTAAAAGGGGATGTTGAGTCCCTTCAGCAACTAGGGTACCACTTAGGAATTAAATCAGATACTGATGGAAGTGCAAAACTGTCACAATGCTATCAACCACAAAATGTTTCTGTCACATGTGAATAATGGGTGAGGTGGAAACGTACAGTTTATGCACTAGATGGCTCCGCAGGTCCTGGGTGACATGCTCATGCCAGCTTTTCCGAACACCAGTGCTGGAAGTGGGTGCTGCTGTTGGTATAGTGCTGAGGGTTCCAATGTTTCCAGAGTTTGAACCATCATTCATCAGTGGGCTATGGGAAAAATGAGAACTTCATCCATCTATTATAGTGACTCAAATGTGCTTCATTTAAATAAGGCCTTCAGCCATATGAAACTTAAAAAAGTTTGTTAGGAGAGCCAAGTGATGAATGTACAACAAAACTGAAACCATGTTTTATCTATTATCTGCTCTGCAATTATAATTAAAAGAAAAATAGCATGCCTCCACCAAAGCTATTTTCTCTGCCTCACATTTAGAAAGAATCATGGCGTTCTGTGTGATTCCCAGCCCATTTTCATGTGTGACTATCACATAGGAGCCGATTGAAATGTGGGTCTTACTTTGTGGCCCCAAGGGAAGTTGGAAGAGCTGATTCTGAAATCAAGTTTGGTGGCTGCTGATCTGTTGTTATTCCTCCTGCTGGAATGTTCATTGGGTTATTTCCTTTAAAAGCAGAAAAGAAATCAACTTCTAAATTATAATATACACTTAAGAGTTCAAGTCACTACATGAATAAGCAATTCTTAATGAGTTACAATAAATACTATGGCAGAAAACTCTGGAAGTTATATTTTCAATAATGGTGATTTACTTGTAATACAAGTTCAGTTGCAGACTCCTTCCCACTGTATTATGTAATTAAAATAAGACAGTTTTATGAAGGCTGGATGGTAAAATAAGTATACTATAAGGCTGTGGAAAAATTAGAAATGATCCATTTCAGCTTTAGATTTTGATCCTGGCTTTATTAATATCATGTCCTAAACAACTAAACTGACTTGTCACTTATATGTGTCATCTATTTTTTTGTATATCAGAAATTAAAATCATAGATACTAAGTGTAGATGAAAAGCATAAAAGGACAATTCGTCTACATATTCATTTTATAGGATAAAAAAAGTTAACGTCTTATCCCAAATTAAATCATCAATAGGAATGAAGTTAGAATAGAATTCAGGTCTTAGGCCTCCAAACCAATCTCCTGGTCAGTAGAAGTTAGATATACAATGGCTTCCAAAAAGCAACAAATGAGATGTTTTCAAAGAGCCATTTTTAAGGTAAAATATAAAGAGGTGGCAAAAATTTTGGAGATATGTAAACAAAAGACCAAACACTGGCAAATAATGGGATAAGATTACATTAGGCAATACTAATACACTGGTACATGGAGAAGGCTGAGACAGGAGAGATTTTCTAAGACTCCTGTTAACCGGACCATGTTCCAGTTGGTCACTTCTAGCTGTGGGATAACCCATAACCAAGACGTGCTAGAAATGACAGACCATCTATAAGTTATCCTATATAATAAAAACCTAACATGCAAATCTACTGAACTGTGGAATGACCAGTTGCTATGATGGGCACTGACCACCAGGGGGCAGACACTCAACACAGGAGCTGCCCCCAGCCCACAGGCCCCAGGCCAGCCAAGGTGGGTGCCAAAGGAGTGCGGGGTGGGGCAGGGAATCTCCCAACTGATCACCCCACAGATTGGCCCTGATTGCCCACCAGGCCTAGTGCACTGGGCCTCTAGTCCATAAATAAATGTTGTACTGAGTCAGTGCAAGTGGTACAACTATCATTCTAACTTGTGAGACTGCATTCTGAGCCATATGAAGTGCCCTTTATGAAAGCTGTCCAGACAGAAGTGGCACAAGTAACAAAAATGTCAGGCAAATGCTACTCTTTTAACAAGCCTGTAACATATTTCGTGAATTAGAAATGTTTGCCTTTTCCTGGAAGTTTTTTCCCCTTCAATTTACAAGATACCATCACCATAATATATACATTTATTAATTTGAAGTTAAACTGAAAACAGCCTCTGGTTCCAGGAAGACTTCTCATTTCCATGCTGTATTAGGACAAAGAAGTTTTCAAGAGTTCCTTCACTTACCCAAGGGGTTGAGAGTCCTCATCTGCTGGTGAGTTTGAGGCTGTGCTGGTTGCTGGCCAGAAACCTGAGGCTGCAGCTGCGTCTGGGGCTGGTTTAGGTAGGGAAGTCCAAGAGCAGCATATGCTCGTTGCATGGAGCTGGGGTCTATAGGATTTGGGTTACTTAAAGAAGTAGCATTCTGCTGGCCTGTACCAACAGAACCAATTGTGTTCTGAATTCCACTAGCTGGAGACCCCAGGATGGCTAGAACAACAAACAAACAAACAAGGTAAGCAATACAGAGAAGCCCATAAATTATTTTAAAACTACTGAGAAACAAGTAAAAATTTATCAGACTATATGTCATGAAGTATTAGAACAAATCTACCAAGAAAGGAGGTGTCAGAGAGAAGGATCCTATTCTATTCTTCTATTCTGCATGCCAGTAGCTGAGGAGCACAAAGCTGAAGAAAATCCAAACTTCTCTCTTAGAAAATAACAGACCATAATATCAGAGATCACTTAATAAAAATTAATATGTATCAAAGTCTCAGAATAAGTCAGTTCTAGGGGAGTGGCAAACATGATAACAGAAAATGTTCTGATTTTTTTTTTGGGGGGGGGGGTTCTAATAGGCAACCCCCTCTTGCTGCCACTCCCCCCTGGGCAGCAGGGTCCTTCACTGCCCACCTGTACAAGTCAAAAAGATTATTAGAAGGAGAAGAGGTGATGCTCAATCACTTATTAATAAATCTATAATGTGATCTTCTCAATAACAATATCATAATTCCTTGAAACTTACGTGTACAATGACTGCATTAACACCATACCTTTCTTTCCTATGAGTTTCTATGCAGGAGGGCACCATGCTGAGCTCTCTATGTAAAGCTAATCAAGAAAGAATAAACTTGACTGACTAACTGATCTAGTTGAAATTAATAAATTAATAAATTAAGAAATTAATAAATAGAAAGAGGCTTGGATTTTCCTTTAGCCAAGTATCATCTCAGCTTCACTGATATTCAAGATCTGGGCTCTGCCTCCTGAAACCATTAGCTTCTCTAAAGGAAAACCTATGACAACATAAAGAACCTCATTCCCAATAGCTTCCAAGTTAACTGACAGATGACCCCAACTTGCAAATCCTTGGTCATTTCAAACACAATTCATTAGTTCGTCTGTCCATCCATCCAACCAAATGTTCTTATTTGGTAAGCAGTTACCATATAATAAGTTTTATGATATACTATTTATTCTTAAGAGTTCCCTTCGGTTCAACTTCTCCAAACTTTAGAGTTATATTATAAATAGCTGATAAAATTGATACTATAACATATGATTTTTAATACATAAGATACTATATACTAAGGCCTTTTTTCAAAATCAGACCATTATGTGTTTATCTTCTCACATTTAACTATCAGTACAACTATAACATAAACAATTCAAATACTTACCAGGGTAACTTAATTAAACTGACATGTGCGGGGAAAAAACTTAGTAATTACATTTTATACTGCTAACTTTTCTAACAAGGATATTCAGATCTCAAACTCATTAATGTTCATTAGTTACAATAACACATACCAAGCATCTCATTGCAATAAATGAAAAGATTCCGAAGGTGCACTTTATGACAGCGTGTAGCTAAAATAAATTACATAGAATATCTTTACTTTTTTCTAGTAGTATTTCCCAAAACTTTAATCATGTGCTCATTGTACTCCTGAAACCAACATGCTAAGTTTTCTAAAAGCACTATGATGTAAAAAGGAAAATAATAATGGTAGCATGATTTATTTTTCTATCACCTTGTGGTATAAGCAAGAATAGACCCAGACTACATTTGTTACACATAATGATCAATTTTGGAAAGGAATTAAAATAACAAAACAAGCTATCTATACAGCTTTTCATTTCTATGTGAAGATGCAATAGAAATGCTTTAGTGACAAGTTCTATTATATTCCTTTCCACAATTGATCATTATGTTACTCTCCAGGTCTGTCCATGCTGTTTCAACTGTCCATGCTGTTTCAAATGATAAGAGATTCTTTTTTTACTGCTGCATACTATTCCATGGTATAAATATACCACAGCTTTTTTACTCACTCATCTACTGATGGGCACTTGGGCTGCTTCCAGATCTTAGCTATAGGGAATTGTGCTGCTATGAACACAGGGGTACATACATTCTTTCTGATTGGTACTTCAGGTTTCTTAGGGTATATTCCTGGAAGTGGGATCACTGGGTCAAATTGCAGTTTCCTACTTAATGTTTTGAGGAAACTTCATACTGTTTTCCATAAAGGCTGCACCAGTATGCCAAAGGCCATCCTTTTAGCAAAATGTCCCCCTCTTAGGGCGGATTCCATTCCCAAGTCCAAGTTCTTTTTCAGGGCAGCCAGACAATCCCATGGAAGCTGCTGACATGGTCACTGTAGTTGTGTTTATGTAAAAAAAGCATTTATTTCCTAAATATAAAACATTACTATATTTTTTAAAAAAACATACCTATCAAGAGACAAGCAAGTATTTGGAACTTGGCATTTGTAACAATCAGAGGCAAGGAAAACGTAGTACAAGCAAAAGATGTGTGACATTTAAGCATGGCCCAATTTGAGTTCAAATGCTGTTAGTAGATGACATACTGCTTCAGAGTAAGATAACACAGACATTTATTATTGGGGTGATGACTGATTGAAAGGGGAGTTATCAGATAAAAGCAACTATAAACTCCATTTTGTAAACTCAAGATGCTATCATCCCTCCATGAACATTTTCCTGATCTCTCTCCTGGGCAGCAGTCATTCTTCCCTGAATTCTCACATCTCCCACTAGGGGTCTGCTTCTCTTTGGGCATTTACACTTCACATATTCACTTGCTCACTCCACCAATTAAGTTAGTACAGACTGTTTGCCAGGCTCTGCTAGGCTTCAGGGTACAATGTGAGCACAAAGCCTGCACTCATAGAGCATAGAATGTTGTGAGAGACAACAGACTAATCACTTAACAAATGTAAAACTGCAGCTCTCTATCATGCTCATCTCACCTTCCTTGTACATCCCTGAAGTGGGACCAATGTGTGACTCATCTTGACTTTGTAAGTCGAGGTGCCTTGTAAAGTCCACTGCAGAATTCAAGTGAGCTGTAGTAGTGTAGCAGAATGACTGGCCTTCTTCAGACTCCTCCCACCCTCAGCCCTGCAGCACTGAGTTCTTCAGGCTGAACAAATTTTAAGGAGTGCTAAGAACAGCAATGCTTCACCTTGCATCATTGATAATGAGGCTGTCCACATTAATCAATTTTATACATTACCGTCGTTTTATCTCCTTAAATGTCAAAACCTCTTATACTTTTTACCTCTTACTATTTTTGCATCTTTTCCCCCCTTTCTTTGAACTAATGCTACACATCTTCATACACAATCAACTGCCATGTCACACACTGCTGTATCAGTTGGCATTCTTGCTACCAGCACATCTTCAAACTACTGTCTGGCACGACCACTGCCCCTTCTGTCACAGCTTCATCAGGATCCCATGATCTAGGAAACAAAAGGCTATGCTTCGTAGTGGTCTGTTTCTAGGACTCACTGTCACTTTTCATGTAGATGCAAGGCAGTCCTTCCCTATCGAGCACAACGACAGTTCTTCTGTAGGTTCCATGCACAGTATACTAACTTGCAAATTGAGTTCACCAGGAACTTCAGTCCCCAATTATTCTCAATAAAACCGAACTCAATTGAAAATCCAACAAAAATAGACACATTCCAAAGCTTTGTCAGAGTGATGGGAGACATACCATTAAGCAGGCAAAGTGACTACTTACTATCTGGTATGTAACCACTAAGATTTCCAATGAAAAAGTTGTGCTGGAAGTTACTCAGGCCTGTATACACATCTCTGCAGAGTTGCTCCCACACAGTGCCTTGCAGATGCCGTGTATGCCAGGCCCGCCTTCCTTTCCAGCATCTTCTTGTACACAGTATAGGACATAATAAAAGAGAATATCTAGCACAGTTGTCAGGCCTCCTATCAATCCACCATTGAGCAAGAATGCACAAACCAAAAAAAAAAAAAAAAAGCATGTACAAACCTTCCAACAGTTTTTCTTTAGAAGCCAAATGACTCAGGAGCAAGAAACACTATGTTATGCAGAAGAGCAAGGAAAACACTGTTCTGATCAAACACATCACCAATGATTGGTACTTAAATCCGGGACAAACAAGTCCACCACTCTGTCCCTATAGCCATTTAAGTCCTACTGTTCTACTGCCTTCTCTGCTCCCCATGCCAACAACAGTCTGTCAAACGAAGTGTCTGAAAATCTCTGAGACCTCTCAGATGGAACAAGAGCCTATTCAACAAACACTTACTAAGTACCTAAGAGGCTACTCTTTGTGAGTAGAAGTTTTAAGGAGGTAGAGTTGGACTCAATATCATGAAGGAAGGTGTTTAAAACAATCACAGGTGCCTAAAATTAAAACAAACAAGTCAGGCTAGGGAGTGAGCCAGTGGAGGTATTCAAGCAACAGACTGGAGGACTGCTAATTGACACTGTCAATGGGCTCATGCTGCGTGAGTAAATGGGTTCAGTTCGACCCTACAGCATCTATTTTGACAGTCTTGTGGATTTCTGAGTTGGTTTCCCCCAGAGAATGACTCAAATATTTTCAACAGCTCCAAGACATACACGCCTCCCTTCAAGGCATTCCAAGAAGAGCATCTCAGCCATTCATGCGCATACCAATAACCTGGCAATTCGTTAAAATGTTGATTCTAATATAGAGAGCCTGGTATGAGGCTCCAATGTCTGCATTTCTTTTTAAAATATTTTTTAAAAATTTATTTTAGAGAGAGAGGAAGAGGGAGAAAGAGAGAAAAACATCAATGTGAGAGCCAGTTGCCCCCCACACGCATCAGGGATAGAAACTACAACTTGGGAGTCGAACCGGCAACCTTTCAGTGTGCCGGATGACCCTCAACCAACTAAGCCACACTGGTCAGAGTCCAATGTCTACATTTCTAACAAGCCACCTGGGAGTGTCCATGTTCCTCGTCTGAGAACTACACCTGGAGTAGGAAGTAAACTTCACTGATTAGGCAACGTGAGTTCTAATAGGGAATTTGGTCACGTGTCCACACAGTTCCAGTCCTCCAAGCACCCTATGAACTAGAATTTATTGAGGGTCAGATGCCAGGACAGACATTTTCTTTGGAAAGCTCTACTTATTCAATAAATTTTGATTATCTCTGTAAAGGATAGATAGCATGAGACTGGTGATTACAGAATTTCTAGAAAACTGAAAAATCAAAATCTCAACAGCGTAAGTCAAAAAGGTAACCAGTGGTCTGAGATTCATTTCAAACAATCTTAGGTTAGCTCCACAAATATTTCTGGTAGATTTATAGACATTACTGAGAGAAGTCTGATAGTAAAAATGTGTGCACCAGGTAAGGTAAGCATCTGTGGGAAATCCTGCCTAGAAAGCACACAGCCTTGGTGGCACAGGGCACATGCTCCACAAATGGGCACAGTTGGGTCCGAGATAACCCCCAGGGGTCCTCACCACCTCAGTAGGAATAGTCCCTCTCTCTCTGAATTACCTTGTTTGCACAGGAACTTCTGAGTCCAATCAGATCCTGCCCTTACACACGTCAACTCTGCTGACACAGTCCATGCTGTTTAGAATATTCTATTGTTACTTTATTGAAATTGGGCTCCATTAAGCCTAACCCTCCAGCAAATCCCGGTCTTCTCTCCTCAAGGATTGCCAATACTAGTGACTTATCTCTACCTTATTCCTTTGAGTGATATCACTGTCACATCATTTAAAAAATATATATATATATTTTATTGAGTTTTTACAGAGAGGAAGAGAGAGATAGAAAGCCAGAAACATCGATAAGAGAGAAACAACCACCAGCCGCCTCCTGCACACCCACCACCAGGGATGCGCCTGCAGCCAAGGTACATGCCCTTGACCAAAATCGAACCTGGGACCCTTCAGTCGGCAGGCCGACGCTCTATCCACTGAGCCAAACTGGTTTAGTAGATTTTTAATGTAGATATTCTGATTCTGGAACAGACCTTAAGGTACTAGAATGATGACTCTGCATTTCTTCTCTATTGCCTATACCAAGTGTTCATCCAGTTAAGCACAATTTGCTTTAGAAGAGTTGAAAAATACCAATAAACATTTATAGAAAAGATATTGTTGAAACTTGCTCACTCATCATATCAAACTCTTCTATAGTCACAATACTATTGTTAGAGCCCAAAGAATACACACTCAAAGTTGAAACCTAATTTGAAAAGCATTTAATAATTTTTTAAATAGAAGCTTTCATGAAAAATTACTAAAACTTTGTACAAAGATAATCTAAATATTACCATGACTATAATAAAATCACCCTGGTAACTCCTTACATTATGACTAGTAGAAACACTGTGGTTTACCACTTCAGAGAGCACGCACCAGATAAATTGTCACAACAGTCAGAGTTATAGGATGTTAAAAAAAAGAAAACCCACAAAAAAACCACATACATTTCTTTTTTAAAAAAAAAACAACAAAACCACATTAATGTTTCTTAAAAAGAGAAATCAAAAAAAATTTTACAATTGTCATACTAAAAACAGAAGGTCCCAGAAAAGCCACACCTCAAATTAAAAGTTGAGAATGAAATCTTATCTCATTATTCATAGAATTGATACTGTACTTGAATGAATTATTTTAGCACTTAAAAAAGCTTACTACTGAAATGCAACCTAAAATATAAGAAATTGTAACCATTAAAAATACTAGTTTAAAAAATGGTTTTATATTAACTTAGAGAAAAAAACAGACTGTATTCTACTAGAACTATTGTCCCAAATATCTTGTTCTAGAACACCCAGATTCCTAGACGTTCAATTTATATGAAAGATGTCCTGGAATTTTTATTAATTCAAATTTTGGTCAATCAAAAATTAATTTAACTTATTTTGGGAAATGACTTTGAAAGGAAACTTATTGAGACTCCTTCTCTAGCGAGAGAAGGAGAATAATGGGCCCATGACCCCTGTGACATGGACATTGCTGACCAGGGTCAGCTCACTATACATCTTCTCAGGAGAGGGTGAGCCGGACTTAAAGGAAAAGCACCTGAGTTATCACTGGTGCTCCACTCCTGGCCACTTAGGAACAATGAGCTTTTCCATCTTTCCTTGTACCTCTCACAACCAACCAGAAAGAAAAACAGCACACATTCTCCAGGTAGCAGTGGGGTCTTGAGGAAGATGACCAAGAATGAGAGGAATGAACATGTAACCACAAACAGGGGAGGGTGGCAAGATGGCACAGACAAGATGGAGGAAGACTAGAAAGACTGTGCTGTGCTCAAAGTCACAGGGAGCGGCTCCAGCCAAAGGGGTAACATGATATTAAAAGCACGTCGTATCTGTCCAAACTGAGGGACACCCAAAGACCACGTTTTACATCTAAAATGACAGGAAATAACTTGAAATTGGGAAGAGATTCTCATCTTTTCGCTGCTCTGATGACTACAGGGGAGTCCCACACAAGCCTCCCAAGCTGGGATCACTGCAAAATGGTCAATCAGCTAAAGGCTACACAGATAGCTCCAAAGACTACAAAGCAATGGGAATGATCAGAATGCAGCCAGTCTGGGGCAGAGACTCTCAATCTGTGCTGAATAAATTCTAAGTTATGTTATAGGACTGGAACTGCAGCTCCATGGGGGATGGAAACCTCTCAAATGTCTACATGTGGGATTCTATACTGACCCGGCCTGACTTATCTATGACTTTGGGGTAAGAGGTTTCCAATTCCAAAAGAAGTGTCCTTTTATTTCTCCTGCTCCACCTCAAAGTCACTGCAATTAGTGATGCAACATTAAAATCATCAGATACTGAGTATTTGTCAAGAAATAGGAAGAGTAAGTCACTTTGGTGATAATCCTTTCCCACTGCTGCCAATTCTGGTACTGGGGGATGGAGGTGGCAGAGAATTAAATTCCAAAACAGCCACTCCCACTGAGCACAATGAGACTGTCTACTCACTAAGCTTTGCTTCCTCCTTTGTCACTGTATGTCTCCACTCACTACTATCCTTTGTGGCTAATAATTTCTGCCCTGCTTACTAGCTATGCTTATGTATTCTTTTCAGAAATAGCTTATTTTCTCATCTTCAAGCTTCTCTACCCCCAATGCTCACTTACTTTGTTGGTTTCGCTTGTCACTGGCATTTTTCAAAGGGAGGCAAACAGGACAGTCATGTCGTGTGCAGTTCTTCCAATGAGAGATGATTTGTCGTGAAGATGCACAATGGGCAACTATGACCAGAAAAACAACGAGATGTTATTTTTCTATCCAAATCGTCACACTTTCAAATACACCTAAATTATAATGCCAGGTTCCATAAGAAAATGGTAACAAGGGTAACCATAACACAGTACAGGCAGTCTTCAACTTACAAACAGGCAGTTTTCCAAAAAGTTTGTAAGGCGACTGTTGAGAATTCCAAACAAAAACTTCCCATAGAAGCAATGTTATGAATGATGGTGATTAAGGTTCAGCCCACAAAACAAAAGTTATTTGACCTGAAGTACTAAACAACTGGAATGAAAGGTAGAATAAATAATTCTGTAAGGTCACTATTTAAAATAAAAATGTTTTATTATGTTTAAGGATGAATTTAGCCATCTAAATACTCTTGTTGAAGAAATACAAATAGAGAAATGAGAAGTCTGTGGATATTCTGAAGCCCTCACCCCGCCCCGGGGCACTTTTCAAAGTACTTGAAAGGGTAATTAAGGCTGGTTATTCTCAGTCTTTACCTTCAAACTTCCATGTTAAGGCCCTGATTTTTTTTCTAAAGGTTTGGCATAACCCTCCTTCGGCTTCTCCATCAGTTAAGGGTTATGCTGGGGACTCACAAATGTCATAAAGGGAGAGAGGGAGATCAGGTAGACAACCTCCCCAAAGTTTAGGAGCACAAGAGAGAAAAGGAAAGAGGATAAAGATGAGAGGAAAGTATAATAGTAAGAAACACTTTCTTTGGTAGAATCAAAGGGTCTGCCACAGAAGAGGAGGAAGGGAGGCCCACAGTGTGTAAGTCACCACCGGGAGGGAGGAGGTAGCAGAGAAGATATGGTGCACACAGTTTCCCAGGCCATGGACAGTCACTCAGGACACTTCCCTGGTATCCTGATTAGCCTCAAGACAAAAGTATGGAGGAGCAAGGCAGTGGTTTGACACGGGACACAGTTGCAAGAGACGTTATTTGAGAAAAGGGTTTGTACATGCATGTGTGTGTGCTATACTGCTCAAAAGAAAACAGTGCCCCAGACGTTTATAATGAAGACTATGTTTAAGAAGTGACAAATATTTTCTGTGACAGAGGAAGGAGGAAAGGAACAAATGCAGGGCACAGCCTTATGTAATAGAAGGTCACAGAATATTATTATAAAACCAAATCACCTTTCTCCTCAGTAATTAAGTGTTCCAGTGGTATCTGACAGGATGGTGTGTAAAGACATAGTTTGCAAGAACCTTATAAGAGAGCTGGCTAATAACAAGGACAAATTTCGTCCTAAGCTTTGCCAGTAGGATTTCAGAAAATGGCACTTACCTTGACAAGCTTTCCCAGCCTGACAGTGTGTCATGTGATTCAAAACATTTTTCATGGTTCGACAATGTGGGAGAGAACAGGCCCGAACCTCTCCGTTTGCTTGTTCTCGTCTCTGACATTTATGAGCGTGAAGCAGTAGAACCAGCTGCTGCTGTATCAGTTTGCGTTTTTCAGGATCTGCAGTGGGGCCCGTTGCAATTGCTTGTGTGGGTACAATTCCCACTGATGTTTGCATCTGAGACTAAAATAAAACAAATTAATAAACATTTAATAAGCTTTTAGAGTTCCAATTCATGTTCATTAATTATTTTTCAAACTAATGTTAAAGTTGATGGATATTGGCCACAGAGAGAAGGCAGCTGGTGTGGTTCTCTTTAATTCATCAAAGACTTTAAGGAAGATAAAGAAGCAAAGAAATAAACCAACTGAAAAACAAAGCTGATTAAAGTTCACTGTTTCAAGGCAAGAAAATGATGCTTATTCTTAACTGTAGTTACCAAAACCTAACTCACTCTACAATATATACAAGAGCAGGAAAAATTGTGTATTATCTTAGGTTAAACCATATGAAACTGTTGTTTTTGTAGGTCAAAATGGCCAAACGTTGGCAATTTCATATGGTTCAACTTAAAAGCAAAAAAAATCTGATGCAGCAGAAGAATCAGAGCCACCCTGTGGATTTCATTATCTAGTGACCAGAGGACAATACTTTCAGCATTCATTACCTGTCCTAAAAGAAGTATACACACTTCTCCTTAATACGACCATCTAGTACAATTGCTAATGCTTATGAAATGCTTTGCCTTCCATTAAAATTTCCACTCAGATATCTGGACAGTATTTTCAAAAAGTATTTGATGATTTGCTAAAGATACAGAAATAAGAGTTTAGTTGCTTTCATCCTTAAAAAATAATAAGGATGACTGTACCTCTTAACTGCAAAGAAAATGGAAAAGGTGAGCTATGGAATCTTATTCTTAGAAACTACCAACATTCTTCAGACAACTCTAGTATTCTGACACTAACACTCCCAACTTGATTTTATAACACTCTCTGCCTCCACTTAAAGTACAATTGTTACTCTGACTTTTCAAATTAAGAATCTGAAATTGTTGCTCAATGAGATGAAAGGATTGTATGAACTCTAAGTGGTCTGAAATTCATGTTAGAAGTATCCTTACACTTTGAAAACATCTCTGCTTACTCCTCATTAGACAAGAACCTACATTTAAAAATACCGAACCAAAACTGTGATGTTGTAAATACCCCCAAAAGTAGAGCATAACTTTTATGCAATTTTGTTTGAAAAATAATAAGAATAAAGAAACTTTATTCTCTTACCAGCTACCAAAATTACAAAACTACAGATTTCTTTACATACATCTAGAAAAAGAAACATGTTCATTGATTACAGTGTCACCTGAAAATACAAAAATAGATTCCAGACGAATTAAGGTGTATAAAAATAGGTTAAAATGGGAAAAACTATCTGAAAAAATGTTTTTAGAATGAGGGTAAAAAAACTTACAAAGACATAAAATTAAGATTTAAAAAGGGAAAAACTGTGTGAAAAATTGTTACTTTTGAAAAGTGGAAACTGAGCCGAAAGTTAGGACACTTCTTTTTTTTTTTAAATATATTTTATTGATTTTGTACAGAGAGGAAGAGAGTTAGAAACATCGATGGGAGAGAGTCATTGATTAGCTGCCTCTTGCACACCCCCTACTGGGGATATGCCCGCAACCAAGGTACATGCCCTTGACCGGAATCAAACCCGGGACCTTTCAGTCTCCAAGCCGACGCTCTATCCATTGAGCCAAACCGGTTTCGGCAGGACACTTCTTAAAGCTCCTTATATACAGGGTGGAGCAAAAGTAGATTTACAGTTTTGAGTACACAAAATAGTTTCCCTTTAAAAAAAAAAAAAATCCTCACATCAATTAGTTGCCTCCTGTACACACCTGATAGGGGAACAAAACTGCAACCTAGGTATGTGCCCTCACCAGGAACTGAATCCACAATCTTTTTTGTGTATGAGACAATGCTCCAACCAACTGAGCCACCTGGCCAGGGCCGTTTATTCTTCTACTAGAAGCCCATGCACAAAGATTCATACTAGAATGGGCACCACCTTTCCACTCCGGCCCAGCCCCTTTAAGCTCAGGTCCCAGAGACACCTCTTTCCGCTCCAGCCCTGCCTTTCCACATTGCCCAGAGGCCCTGAGAGACTAGGGGTGGGGCATGACGCCTGCATCATGGAGTTCCGCCCTCCCTGTGTATGCAAATTAAATGCCATCTTTGTTGGGTTAGTTTGCATATCACTCCTGATTGGCTAGTGGTGTAGAGGAGGTATGGTCAATTTACATGTTTGTCTATTATTAGGTAAAATTATTTTCCATATGAAGAACTGTAAACCTACTTTTGCCCCACCCTATATGTTGCCAAATTGTTTTCCAGAAAGGTTGCAGCATTTATTAAATAAACTATCCTATACTTTAGTGCCAAGAAAACTCAATGGAGAGAACAGTTTCTTTCAGTTATTGGTAATGAAAAAAAGGACAACTGGATATCCACATGCAAAAAAAAAGTGAAGATGAAACCCTTCTTCGCATCAAACTCAAAAATTAATTCAAAATGAATAAAAGACCTAACTGTGAGAGCTAAAACTATAAAACATTTAGAAAAAGATCATAGGAGTAAATCATATGACCCTGAAGTAGGTAATGAGTTCTCAGATATGTCACCAAAAGCCCAAACAACAAAAATAAATTGATCTTTATTAAAATTAAAAATTGTGCCCTGGCCAAAACTGGTTTGGCTCAGTGGATAGAGCGTTGGTCTGCAGACTCATGGGTCCCAGGTTCGATTCCGGTCAAGGGCATGTAGATTGGTTGCGGGCACATCCCTGGTGGGGGGTGTGCAGGAGGCAGCTGGTCAATGTTTCTCTCTCATCAATGTTTCTGGCTCTGGCCCTCTATCCCTTTCCCTTCCTCTCTGTAAAAAATCAATAGAATATATTAAAAAAAAAAAAAAAAAATTGTGCCCTGGCCAGTATGGCTCATCCCATGCACTGAAAGGTTGATAGTTCTATTCCTAATCGAGCTTGATCCCAAGTTGGGAGTTGTTCTCTCTTCCTCTTCCTCTTCCTCTTCCCCCTTCCCTTCCCTTTCCTTCCCTTCCCTTCTCTCTCTCTCTCTTTCTCTCTCTCCCCTCTCCGTTTAAAAAATTCTCTTTAAAAACATTTAAAAATAATTAAAAATTGCTATGCTTCAAAGGATACTATGGAGAAAGTGAAAGACAACCCAAAGAATGAGAGAAAATATTTGCAAATCATAGATGTAATAAGGAATGTATATCTAAAATATACAAAGAATTCTTACAGCTCAATGATAAAAAGACAAACAACCTAATTTAAAAATAGGCAAAAGATGTTACTAGATACTCAATACCATTAGCCATTAAGAACCATGATGAGATACCACTTTGCACCTACCAGGATGGGTAGAATTAAAAAGAAAGACAGTAACAAGTTTTGGTGAACACGTGGAAAAACTGAAACCCTCATACAGACTGGATTGTCAAACTGAGCAGCCACTTTAGAAAACAGTCTGGCAATGCATCAAAGGGTTACACCTTGAGTTACCATGTGACCCAGTAATTACCCTCTGAAGTATACATCCGAAGTATTATAACTGAAAACATATGTTTACACAAAAACATGTACCCAGGGTCAGAAAGAGATGTGACAATAAATGAAGGATTAGAGAGAAACGATGTCACTGTCTTTGAAGACAGATGAAGGGAAAGAACTATAAGCCAAGGAAAAGTAAGAAGCCTCTGGAATCTGGGAAAGGATTCTCCCCTAGAGCCTGTGATGCCTTGATTTTAAGAGTATAGGACTTTGCCTAGCCAATGAAGAACACTGGTTGAACATCTATCTATGAACCAGGAGGTCACAGTTCGATTACCAGTCAGAGCACATGTCCAGGTTGCAGGCTCAATCCCCAGTAGGGGCATGCAGGAGGCAGCCAATCAATGATTCTTACCTTTGATGTTTCTCTCTCCCTCTCCCTTCCTCTTGAAATCAATAAAAATATATTTAAAAAAAAAAAAAGAGTATATGACCTTTAATCTACAGAACTGTAATATAATCAATATATGTTATTTTAAACCACTACAATTGTGATAATTTGTTAAAGCAGCAGAAAACTTACAGATTCTTAAAAAGACCATAACTCCCAATTCTCTATACTCTTCTGTGCTGTATTTTTCTTCATAGCCCCAAACATATCTACCATTTTGCTATATATTTGCTATTATTGATGTCTGTCCCCAGTAAGTTACAAAAGGCAAAGTTTGTCTGCTGTGTCCACTGTACCGAGAGATGTACCTGAACTAAAAGGACACACAAAACAAACGAAAATGTGTACAGAAATGTTTGTAGCAGCATTGTTCATAATAGCCAAAAAAGCAGAAACTTTCTCGAATGCCTGTTGACACATGATACAACACAAACTATGAAAACATTATGGTAATTCAGTGATTTTTAATTGTTGTGCCATGGCTTATGCCTCGAGAAATTTTTTAAAAAGCAACACCTGACTATAGTTAGGGGCACAAACCTCTTTTCCCTTAAATTGTCAACAAAACAAAACACAACAGCCAACACAACAATGGCCATCCAGTGTGAATGAATCAAAATTATACCTTTTTTTTTGGTCAGATGGGCAAAAAAATGTATTTTTTGGTATGCCACAGAATTTTAGTAATTAGTTTATGTGTGTCATGAGATGAAAAGGGTTGAAAATCGTTGTGCTAAGTGAAAATAGCCAGCCACAAAAGAGCACAAATTGTGTAATCCCATTTCTATAAAATGATCAGAGAAGATAAACGCAAAGGGGCAGGAAATAGATTAGTGGGGAATGGGGAAATGGGGAGTAACTGTTAACCTGTTAACCGAGCGGGACCTATAAATATGTCAAACATAAACACTATCGGGAACGGGTAGGACATATGAATACGTCCTTGAAATATATGTTGCGCCATGAGAGGGACGGTATATATTTTTTGTAATCTTTTTTAAAAAAATATATATTTTATTGATTTTCTTACAGAGAGGAAGGGAGATAGAGAGCTAGAAACATCGATAAGAGAGAAACATCGACCAGCTGCCTCTTGCACACCCCCTACCGGGGATGTGCCCGCAACCAATGTACATGCCCTTGGCCGGAATCGAACCTG